TAGCCTGAAAACAAGAGCTGCTACAGGGGGCCAGGCTGCCCTGCCTTCTCACTGACTGTTCACAGTGGTGGGGGCTTCTTGAAAACACAGGCTCCGTGCTCACCCTTCTTGGCTCCTAAAATTGTGTCTTGCCCCAGGTGTAAAGTCTTCCTGGACAATTGGGGGATAATTGGCATTAGTGTTGAGAAAATGAATTACTTTCAAATCTGAGTATAGAGCTGCCAGATGAAATATAGGACATCCAGTTCCATTTGAATGTAAGCTAATCAATGAATAATGTATTGTATGGGACAAACTTATACCAAGAAATTATTTGTTTATTTCGAATTTAAATTTAACTAGGCGTCCTGTATTTTAATTTGCTAATTCTGGCAACTCTCTCTGGGAACAAAAGGCCCATGGTTTCCAAGTCACTGATGTCAACAAAATTTATTTTGTCTGCTAGTAACTAATCTTTTCAATTAAAGATCATTAAAGGATTTTTAGAGGTATAAAACAGAAGTTCAAAAATTTGTGAAAAATTGATAAATAACATTTTTCTGGTCCTATCTGTACTTGTTTATGGAAAGAAGGTTTTCAACACTTACAATCTTTAGAAATAAGAAAAGGAACAGGATCTACGCTGAACCACATCATAGTCTAGCGATAGGTAATACTCATGAACACACAGTTGAACAAATTGTTCAAATATAAGCTGACACTCCCAGTAAGATTGTACTTGTAATAGAATTTTACTTTTTATATTCAGTAATTATCAATACTTATGATTCTATATTGTTTTTTTCACTTTTAAATTAAAAAAATTTTTAATTTTATTTATTTATTGAGAGAGAGAAAGAGAGGGAGAGATAAAATCCCAAGCAGGCTCTGAGGTGTCAGCACAGAGCTCAATGCAGGGCTTGATCCTATGAACTATGAGATCATGACCTGAGCTGAAATCAAGGGTTATTCACTTGACTGAGCCACCTAGATGCTCCTGATGTATATTGTTTTCCTCAACTGTATAGTTAGTACTGAAACTAGTATTGGTAATGCAATCAAGGAGAAATTTTTTAACACAGGGAAAAAAAAGTAATTTCAAATGTTATTTATTTATTTAAAGAGACAGAGGGGGTGGGAGAGAGAGAGAGAGAGAGAGAGAGAGAGAGAGAGAAAGAGAAAATCCCAAGCAGGCTCCATGTTGTCAGTGTAGCGCCTGAGGGTGGGGTCTGAACCCATGAACGGTGAGACCATAACCTGAGCTGAAACCAAAAGTCAGACACTTAACCAAGTGAGCCCCGCAGGTTGCCCTGCTTGGAAAAAAAATTATTTTCAATTTATACACATATTTGTTTCAGAAATGTGTGCCAGAGTGATCATACAAATGTCCCTTGCAAACACATATTAAAATTCTGTGGGGGGCGCCTGAAAAAAATTATAACACTGTACGTTAGCTATAGTGGAATAAAAATAAATACAGATCTATATGGGTAGTAAATCGTTCAAGGACAAAAGGCAGCGCTACACTATTTCCGGTGATTAAAGAGAGCTCATGTATTGTTTAATGGATGCTGGTGGGTATCAAATGGCTGGCTGTGGTATATGTATTCCACGAATTCGTGGAAGAGAGCCGGGTCAACGGTGGTCTAAAATACCCATGTCTGCATTTTGCAGGTGCTTTCCAACTGTGACAGCTTGTACGCTCTAAAGTTATACGTGTCCAGAGGAATATCGGTGTTTCAAAACTCTTTCGGTGGATACATGATCAAAAGTATATAACGACCACAAAAAGGCTTTCCGCACCTCGGAGGCGAGTTGGAAATGCCTCGCCAGGTTCGGAGCCCGAGCCCGGCAGGCCCAGACGGGACCGCGGCGCGCAGGACTCGGCAGCTGGAGCGCGTGCGCGGGGGGCGCGGGGGGCGCGGGGGGCGCGGGGGGCGCGGGGGGCGCGGGGGGCGCGTCCCGACGAGCGGAACGCAGCGGGCGTCCGCTCTGTGCCCAGGACGGCGCGTCCCTGGTTGGTGTGGTGGGACTTCCTCCGGTGCTCCGCCGCCAGTGAGGCCGGGCGGGCGAGCGCGGGGGCCTCCGTCCCCGGGCGGCGGCGCGGCGCCAGCCTGGGGCCGCAGGCCAGGGAGGCGCGGCAGGTGCGCACTCCGGGGTCCCGGGGGCGCACCGCGGTCACTCACAGGTCTCGGAGCGGGACACCGGCCTACCGGGAGGCACTTTTTATTTAGCCGAGTCCACCCTAGTTACAAAAACAACCAGCCACGCAAAAAAAAGAAAAAAGAAAAAACCCACTCCGGGAAGCGCCGCTGTCTAAGGCACTGGAGCCGGGCGCACAGGGCCCCGCGCTTCCTCCGACCGCTGGCGGGGACGCGCTCCCGGAAAGACCCGCGGGCCCCGCGCGGCGCGGCCCAGGCGCGGAGCCCCGGGGTCGCGGAAATCCCCGGGGGTGGGGCGGGAGGGCTCGCCCGGCCGCGGTCAGGGGAAGCGCGCGTGGTTACCGCCCCGGAGTTCCCCCTCGTCGCGCGAGGAAAGCACCGGCCTCGGCGCCGGACGCGGGCGCGCGGACACGGCGGGTGCGGGTGGGGGTGGGCCGGCGCCCGGCGCTAAAAGGCGGCGACGCTCCTCGGCGCGCACCGGAGAGGCGGACGCGGCGGCTTCCGACAGAACTGCAGGCGCGGCCGGCCGGCGAGCGGGGCCTCGGGGCGGCAGGTGCGTCACGGGTGGCGGGGGCGCGCGGACCTCCCCTGGTGCGGGTGACGGGGCACCGGGCGCGTGCACGCGTGCGCGTGCGCGGGCCTCCCCTGGGGCGGCCGGAGGTAACGGGGCACCGGGGCGCGTGCATGTGTGCGCGTGCGCGGTCCTCCCCTCGCGCCGGCAGGGGACGCAGGAGCAGCTCGGTGGAGCGCGAGGGTCGGTGGGCCCCCCCTCCGCCCACCTGCGCCCCTGCGCCAGCTGGAGGAGAGCCCGCGGGGCGGGTGACCCCAGGGTCCCCGCGCTGGATGCCCGGTGAGCTGCGGCGCAGTGCGCCCCAGAACTTGGGGAGGCCCCCGGTCAAGTCCTGCCTGAACCCGCATATGTTGACAGAGTAGATTTCTGGTCGTTCCCCTGGTGGTCGGCGCGGGGACCTCGTAGCGCGGTCATGCGGTTAGGGCGGTGTTGGGGGCGCCTGCGTGATGGAAAGTGACAGTGGTGTTCCCTTTGCTGTGATTCGCGGGCCCAGGTGGTGTGGGGACCCCCTGCAGACACCACGAGTGGTTTCAGGTTCAAATATTCAGGGTCTCCGGACGTAGTTAGTTATTATCTCCGTGCACAGTGAGGGGCTTTCCTGCCCGAGGTCACCGCCTCCGGCCTAAGGAAACTTAGGAGGTCTGACTTCAGACCCTGGTATGAAACAACCAGGAAGCCAACCTGGGAGCCACTACTGTAAAACTGAGGCTCTTAATGCCGTGCTGGTGACAGTGGGGGTGTCGTCACCGGGCGCGGGGTCAGGTTTGCGCACATTCGCTGTGCACCTTGCGTGCCCGCTGGCTGCGGGCGGCGGGAACGGGCTGCTGGGGAGGAGCGCGCCCCACGGCTGGGCAGGAGCTGTGCCCGAGCCGGGAGAGCTGCCCCCCAGCCCTGGGCGCGGGAAGGGTGCCTGCCGGGAACAGTAAGGGTGAGAAGAGGCTGAATCCGTGACGGGACCGCGGAAGGAGACCGGAGTCCCCAGAGGGTGGCATCGCGGGAGCCAGGGCACCGGGACGTTTCCGAGAGGCAAATGCAAGATCTTCCCTTGGTTGTGGGGAGAAGGCGCTGGTGTTAACACGACAGGCAGCGGTGTTAGGTGGTGGCGGCGGGGGTGTGACTGTACCAGGGGTCCTAGCCCTCGCTCTTGGCCGTGAAGAGAAGGCGAGACGCGGGCACCGCCAGCTGGGCCTTGAACAGCAGGTTTGAACCGTGCAGGCCCCCTTATGTGCCTGTAGTTCCTGGGAGTATGGCAGTGCTGTCGCTGTATTTTCCTTTGATTTTCTTAACATTTTCTTTTTTCTAGCTGACTTTATTGTAAAAATACAGTGCATAGTACATAAACATGCAAAATGTGCGTTAATCGAGTGTTATCAGTAAGGCCCCTGTCAACTGTAGTTTGTTACTAAGGTTTGGGGGCGCAGCAGTTACACTCAGATTTTCAGCAGGCTGGGGAGGGGTGGGTGCCCCCGCCCCTGCATTGCCCAGGACTCAGCTGTGGCTGCTAGAATGGAAAGTGGGGTAGAGAGAGGATTGCTGTTTTCATTTTGGAGCTGAGACAGACTTCAGCTTGCTTGTTACCTTGAGGGAAGGGCCTGCAGAGAGGAGGAGGAAGGTGTGAGGGAGCAGGGGCGGAGAGAGCAGGATCTCTGAGGCAGCGGGTGGGCTGTGAGGGAGAAAGGCTGGGTGTGTGGAGGTGAAGGGACGGGAGGCGCAGCCACCTAGCAAAGGGGCCGGGGCCGGTGGAGGGGACGTTTGAGGCAGGCCCTGCAGAGTTAGAGACTTGCACGGACCACGGAGCTGCCTAGCTGGCCTGGGGGAGGCTGTGGGGGTCCCCAGCCTTGGGGGTGCTCAGGGGTCCCCATCCCGCTGGGAGGGCTGCAGGGGTCCCCATCCTGGGGGTGGGCTTCTGGGGTTCCCAGCCTGGGAGGAGGCCACAGGGGTCCCCAGCCTGGGCGGTGGCCTCAAGGTGTCCCTAGCCTACTTGGGGATCTGCGTTCTGGAAGCGGGTAGGAGAGTTTGAATCGATCCGGGGTGGGCATCTAGGCATATCTTTGTACTTTGTCATACAAGTGTTGTCTGTATTCTCACAAGCATACATGTGCCTTGTGTCCCCCACCCCCCCTGCCAGGCTTCTCAGCCTCAGGCCTGTGCAAGCAGTACACAGTCTCAGATGACAGAGGCAGGTGACAGAGCAAACAGAGCCGGGGGTGTCTCTTTTAAGCAAAACCACGCTTTATTTACACATCTAACACGTAGGAATATTCCTCTCCACAGAGAAATACAGGGCTCTCATTTTTCTCCAAACGCATCTCTTTTTGTCCACCTTGCTTTTTTGTCACTTTTGACAGACCGGGTATTAGAGCAGTCTCCCTCCCTTCCGGATCCTACTGTGAGGAAAACCACAGTGCCCGCTCGGGGACCAGTGGCAGCTGGCACTCCCTGTGTCAGGGGGCCGGGGCGTGTGTCCGCCGGCTGCGTGTCGCCCACTGTGGGCAGTCTGCTTTTCACAAGGACCTGGGGTCTAGAGCGTCACGGGAAGTCTCTTACTTTTAAAACTGCTGGCAGGTAAGCAGAGCGAGTACATCAAGCAACAGCACTGCCCGTGTGACGTGCCCGGCCCCTATAATTGTGCCATGACTGGGGAAGGTGAGCGCAGGCTGTGTGGGGACCCTCTTGTTTCCTTAACTTTTCTATATGTATAATTTCAAAATAAAAGGTTACCAATTTAATAAAATAGTGAGGTCCAATTCTGTGCAAGCCAGACCCAATGACAGCCTTGCTGGCCACGAGCTGGAGCCATCTGGCTCTTACCTGGGACTTCGTGGCCCGTGCAGGGCTCACACAGCACCGTGTCGTGGGCGTGGTAGACAGTCATCGAACACTAGTGCTCTGTTTTGGAGAAAATGTTTAAAAAGAGATCATTGTATTACATCTATCTATGAAGTATTTGGCTTTTAAAACTCTCTCTCTTTTTTTTTTTTACAGGTTGTACAAAAGGGGTGAAGCGTTCTACTTCTAGATTTTTTCCAGTTTTTTTCTGTAAATAGAAACATCTCAAGATGGAGGCCTAAAACCCTATAAAGGGATGTAGTCTAATCTCTGGGAGGTAGTTTTATGCATGAATAAACAAATTAAGTAGTGAACTAGAGTTTTTGTTATCCCAAAGGATGTTATTTTAAAAAACTAGGGTCTAGTTATATGAGGTGTAACTATGAAGTAATGGTGATCTTGACTTTGAATTTGACTGGTGGATATACAGGGGAAGTGATTCTAGCCAGAGCAGAACAAAGAGAAAGAACTCGTGTTTGGTAAAGATCTGAAAATGAACGACAGTTATCTAGAACAAAGAGTAAATATTCACCCCTCTACCATATTAGAGAAATACACAGGTGGGCCCTCTGACAGATTGAGAGACTTCCACGGTGACAAAGAAATGTCCAGAACAAGACTTTGTGGTGCCAGGGACGCCTGGGTGGCTCAGTCGGTTAAGCGTCCGGCTTCAGCTCAGGTAATGATCTCATGGTTTGTGGGTTCGAGCCCCGCGCCAGGCTCTGTGCTGACAGCTAGCTCAGAGCCTGGAGCCTGTTTCAGAGTCTGTGTCTCCCTCTCTCTCTGACCCTCCCCTGTTGACGCTGTCTCTCTCTGTCTCTCAGAAATAAATAAAACGTTTAAAAATTTTAATTAAAAAAATACTTTGTGGTGCCACAAATTTAGAGTATGACACGCTAGCATGGGCGAATGGTAAAGGATTGATCTAGCCATTTATCTGAATATTCGTATGTTAAAAGCCTGAAGTTCAGCTTGTTCAAATAGACTGTTATTTCTGAGAGGGATGACAATGGGAATGATGGCTCGTGGTTCATTTTGGGCAAAGAGCAGACTTACTCCGAGAGAAAATGTTGTCAGACACAGCGGTCAGCACCGGGAGGGTTTCTGCAGCAGTGTTTACCATATGTGTCCACTGCGGAAGTTAGACCCAGTAACTTATCACTGGAATGGAGCCACGTTTCTCATGTCACCTGGAAAGAAAGAGTTTCAGTTGCAGCAGAAACCCCACCGTCTGTGGAAACCGTGTGCGCAAATCATTGCTAGAGAAGTCAGGACGGCCCGTTTGCTGATCTTTGCTCATATTATTGACGCAGAGCCTGTTTACTGAGAGCCAGTCAAAATTGAGAAATTCTGAATTTTCAGAGGGTCTCAGCTTGGCAAAAGGAGTGGATTGTGACAAAGTAAATTTATTATTTTCTTGTGATAAATTCTGGTTCAAGGTATGCTGTCTGTGGAATTTCTGACCAAAGCCGAAATTGTAGACTTTGATTATTCGTCTTAGCCTGCAGACTCAAAGCCATGACTTTTGATTTTTTAATAAACAAATCCAGTATCAGAATAGAAGGTTTCGTATTGTATTTCAACAGCATGAAGCTGAGCCTAAAAAGACCAATTGAGCGAATACATTCTTTTTTGGGAATGTATTTGAATCAGAGTATTTAATTTGCTAAGTTCTAATGGAATCACTCTGACCAAGTAACCAAGCTGTCGACTATGGGAAGTAATTATTGTTTAAGGTATTTTGAAAGAGGCCTTAAGATGCACCAGCCATTTCTTTTCCAACTTAAGCTCTTCATTTGTAGGAAAATTCTAGATGGTTTTATTTCCTGATTAAAAATATTCTAGGAAGAAAAATTACTTAATTTGAGCACGATTTGGGAGAGATTGTATTCCATCGCATCTAAGATGTCATTAATTGTAAAACACACCATTATTTTATGTGCTTTTAAGAAATAAAAGTGCTGCTATGGGGCGCCCGGGTGGCTTAGTCGGTTGGGCGTCCGACTTTCGCTCGGGTCGTGATCTCGCGGTTCGTGGGTTCGAGCCCCGCGTCGGGCTCTGTGCTGACTGCCAGCTCAGAGCCTGGAGCCTGTTTCAGAGTCTGTCACTCCCTCTCTCTCTGACCCTCCCCTGCTCATGCTGTCTCTCTCTCTCCTAGAAATAAATAAATAAAACATTTAAAAAAAAAGAAATAAAAGTGCTGCTAATTAAATATGATATTTATTCGCTGGAAGACACCTGTTGGTAACAGTGATATTTAAAAAGATGCATCTCTTTGCTTCTTTTTGGGCAGGTGTTAGGCTTTTGTTTTTTCCTGGCTACCAAATTTCATAATTTAAAAAGAAGCAAAATAAACACAGTTTGGGCTTTTTTTCTGTAGAGCAGGTACAGAGTGTAGCTTTCCTCCCCGAAAGCAGGCCGGCCGTGTGAGCCCCACACTTGGCCTCCAGGCTGGCCTAGCGCCTTGAGGGGTTCCCACCCAGACACCGTCCAGCCCGTGGGGGTGCTGAGACTGGGTGGCATCTTGGTGACCCCAGGCTCCCCGCTTGTACGCAGGGTTTGAGTCCCGTGACGAGGTGCCACGTGTCGTCCCGCTCACACTGTGTGTGTAAAGGTGATGGCAAGGTGCGCACGCCTTTCCCGTGCGGTGTGTGTCGGGCTCAGAATCTCCGTGCTGCAGCCCGAAGTCGGGAGATTTCCTGCTCCGGGCGATCAGCCTGCCCCTAAAAGTATCCAAGACCCCGAGCCGTGCACAAAACTGCCTCCCCAGAGAAAGGCTAGTCCCTTTCCCGCCGTCCGCTTGGCCGTGACCGTGGTGGAGGAGAGCACGTGGCTGCCGAAGCTGCCGGCAGGCGGCGAGCCCGCGAGCGAGGGGTGCCGCCGCGCGCCCGTGTCCGCGCGCGGCCTCGCCCGGGCCGGGTGCGGCCTGGCGCTGGGCAGCTGGAAGCCGGGGCGCCGTCCCCTGGAGAAGCACCGAGGCTGTACCCCGGCTGCGGCTTCGTCCACAGTCTCGGTGCGCCGGGCGCTTCGGCAGCCGCGTCGCCTGCCCCGGGGGCGCGCTCCAGGCCCGTGCTGCGTCCCGGTGCGCAGAGCCGTGGCCGTGGCCGTGGCCCCTGCGCCGGCTCCCCCGAGAACCCCGCAAGGTTCAGAGCAAGCCAAGCCCCGCTTCCCTGGAGGACGAGTCCCCCCCACGGGGCTGCGACGCACACCGAGGAAGCCAGGCTGCGCCCCTTCCGGGGATGGCCCTTGACCTTGCCGGTGCCCGCGCAGCTGGCCAGAGCCGGCTTTTACCACGTGGGCCCCGGGGACAGGGTGGCCTGCTTCGCCGGCGGCGGGAGGCTGAGCAGCCCGGAGCCGGCGGACGACGCGCTCTCGGAGCACCTGCGACGCTTCCCCCTCTGCCCCTTCGTGGAAAGCCGGCTTCGGGACGGCCCGCGGGGCGCCGTGTCCAACCGGGCCATGCAGACGCACGCGGCGCGCGCCCGCCCCTTCCGCGGCCCCGCAGCTGCCCCCGCCGCCTTCTCCCGCGCGGGTGAGGGCCCGGGGCGCGGCCGGCCTTCCCGTGTCCCCGTAGCGCGTCTCGGCGGGGTCCCCGTGCCGACTCACGGCTGTGCTCCAACACCGATTTCAGGCCGCAGCGACGACGTCAGATGCTTCAGCTGTGACGGCGGCCTGCGGTGTTGGGAGTCCGGAGACCACCCGTGGGTGGAGCACGCCAAGTGGTTTCCAAGGCGAGTGTCTTGCAGCCTCCTCTGCAGATGTTTGTTGTCGTTATGAGGCGGGTCATACGTGTTGACCTGATCATCAGCCGTTGCTTTGTTCTTTCTTTCAAAAATGCTCCCGTGAGTACATTTAGGATGAACTACTTAGAAAAATTAAACTTGTTGGGATGAGCACTGGGTGTGGTATGCAAGCCAATTTTACAATAAATTATATTAGAAAAGAGAAAAAAGAAAAGAAAAAAGGTAAAAGAAAAAGAGAAAGAACTAAACTATCTTGATGGAAGGTTTCAATATCTTTCAATATCTTGATACAGGTTTAGGATTTCTCATGTATAATGAAAAAAATATATATGTGTATAAAATATATTCATTATAAAACCAAACCCACACATTGTAGAAAAGTACAGAGAAAAAATGTAAGTGTCCAGAAATTTCATTATGTAAAGAGGACCGCAGTCACATTCTAGTGAATTCCCCTCTAGACATCTCTTTACACATGCGTACATTGGTAGATGAACGTGTGTAGTATTAAGTGAACGAGATACTATATACACCGTTTGGAAACCTTTTCTCAGCCGTAGGTCTTGGACATATTTCCATTTATTCAACATTTCACGTTAATTGATCGTCTATTGCCAGGCACTGTTCTGGGTGCTTAAAATACTCAGTTGAACCAAACCAAGATCCTTGGTCTCATACGTTAATTTAATAGCAAGAGATGCAGATAATTAATAAAAACTTAATAAATTATGTAGCGTGTTGGAAGATAGTAAGTGCTGTAGACAGCAGGAAAAACAGGATGGTGGGAAAGATCAGAAGGACCAAGCAGGTTGCAGCATTAGATAGGGTGATCAGAACATTTCATTGTCAGTTCTCACACTTTTGATTATTCCATACTTACTTATACTCTTCTTTTTTAATTGAAGTCAAGTGGCTTCTGATTATATTTTTCATGATCAAAACTTTTAGTATTTTCAATGTTGCTTACTAAACTCAGTCTCCTGACTTATTTTCCTTATGTAAGTTTTTGGTATGATACTCTGTAGCACCTTTACATGCCCCAAATATTTCAGATTTCAAAAATTAAAAAGATTATAAAGAACACCTTATATAGACATTTTTAAAAAGTCCTCCTAGCTTTTCGTTGTGGCAGCTCTGAGAATATATAAAGAGAAGGGTGAAGCAGGGTTCCTTTTGTACTTGAGTGTGACCGTGGATGCGTGTTATCTAGGAACGGCTGACTTGTGACCATCTAACTTGTCACACAATGTGTTCACCTTCCTCGTTATTCCTCTCTTGTCCTGCTTTGTGTATTTTTAACTTTTAAACATACAAAGTTTATGAGAGAACAGCATCATTTATTAGAGAACTTTCTACCTGTCTCCTCGGCTCCATTCGCACTATCCAGAGTGTTTTCAGCAATCTTCAAAAATTGAAAAGCACAGCCGGGAGCTCCGAGTGGGTCGCTGTGACCCTCTGGATCCAGCGCTGGCGAAGCGCCACGTTGCAGCCTCTCACTCACGTCATCTTGCCTCTGACCGGTATCTCCTGCCTCTTCCCGTGTGGGAAATGAGTGTTAAGTGGTTATATGCATGTTTATGTTCATTGGAAATGTTTAGCTGTCTACAAATAGCGGGATTAAACCCCCCCCCCCAACTTACCTTTGTTCATCTTTCAGGTGTGAGTACTTGATACGAATCAAAGGACATGAGTTCATCAGTCAGATTCAAGCCAGTCACCCCTGTCTACTTGAACAAGTATGGGGGACTTTTAGAAATCATTGGTTAACAACAGATAAGTTATTTTCTGACAATCACAGAGAGTAGTACTTAGTGAAAAGACAAGGAGTTGCTTTAAAAATACATTTCATTTTTTATAATACCCAACATGATCTTAGAACTAGTCTTTGCATGTAGAATCCAAATTAGAGACCTCCTGAAAAAATATATTTAAGGTATGGCTCCAAGTATTTCTGTAATGAGGTTGCAATAAATTAAATTATTTGAGGGAAAAACTTGGCTGGCATTTAATAGTTTTACTATACATTTTTTTTTTTTTTGCCTAAAAGATGTGAGAAAGAGAATTGTAATGCTTCTTCCAGTCTTCCCAGAATGAGATTTCTGGGAACATGCTGGGGCGGGAGGACTCGCTGCATCCACCCTCGTATACAAACCAGAGAACACCCACAGCAGTAAATAACCCAGACAGGACCTGGCAGAACAGACTCTATAGCTAAACAGAGAGAAAAGGCCACATCAAGAGGATAGGAAGGGCAGAGATGCGGTGGGCAGCTAAGAGGACTGCAAGCCATCTGCGGGAGAGAGGGCACCACAGGTGCAGAGACGGGAAGAGACCCTCACAGCGGGGGGCCCACATGGGGAAGATGGGTTCCCAGAACAGCTGACTTTGTAAACCAGAAGGGCCGAATTTGGTGAGTTCTTATGACTAGCATAAATTAAAACCTGGAATTTTAAAAATCAGCAGGCTCTGCTCTGGAACAGCCAGTGGGTGAGAGGAAACTGAGTCCCCACCATCAAAGAGACGCCACAACAAACAGCCCTTGGAGATAGGGTATAATGAGCAGCAGGTTGCAAAACACCTGGGGCCTGTGGGAGGCAGAATTATTTACCCATGTCAGACTCCCTCTGCCCTTCAGCATAAGCGCATGGCCACCTGTGAGAACCGGGGCAGCGCCTGTACTCGCCACCTAACTTCCTGAAACCACGCCACCCTCTCTGCCAGGCCCACCCCAGTCTCGGTGCTGTGGGTCCTGTCCGACCAGAAGATTGGCACAAACTTTGCTAACACCATGTCTTGCACTTTGTGGATCCATCTCATCCAGTGTGCTCTCGGCTGAAGCTCATCCAAACTGGGGCCGCAAGCCTGACGGTGTGTAAGCAGCCTCGACAAGGGCCAGCGCTACTCCAAAGTGAGTCCTGCCCCAGGGGCAGGGAAGATGGCTGCACACACCAGTCCCTCTTGGCCCGGCAGTGGGCTGGGGGCAGACCTCTGGTCTGACTGCAGGCCCTGGGCACCAACAAAGCTTCTCAGGGAACAACACTGAGAAAGTCTGGTGCTACTGTAGCTCTGGCAAACACCTGCTCTGACTCGACTCACACCCAAGATGGCCCCAGACTGGCCCACAAACAACCCAGGGACAAAACCCTGCCTACAACAGGCAAAGACAGCCTGTGCAGACAACTGGAGTGACAGCAAAAGTGGCTCGGCCTCAATAGCAGGGCGCACACATCACATAGAGGAGTCGCCCCTGAAGTGCCAGGTTCTGGGGAAGAGGGGACACTGCATTGCAGGACACGACAGGTCCTCTCCCTCAGGAGGACACTACTTTCAAGAGCAGGAGATGTAGGTGACTTTCCTATCACACAGAGACAGACACACCATTAGAGAAAATGAGGAGACAGAAGAATACATTCTAAATGGAAAAGCAGGACAAAATCATAGCACGAGACCCAAGCAAAACAAAGATAAGTAATATGTCTGATGGAAAATTTAAAGCAATGATCATAAGGATACACGCTGGACTTGAGAAAATAGTGGAAAGTATGAGTGAGATGCTTACACGGAAAAGGAATAACATAGCAGAGATAAAGGGCTCAATAGGTGAAATAAAATACATATGTGATGGAATGATCAGCAGGATGGAAGAAGCAGAGGAATGAATTAGTGACCTAAAAGGCAGAGGAATGGAAAGTTATCAAGCTGAGCAGGAGAGAGAAAAAAATTATGCAAAATGAGAACAGACTTAGGGAAGTCAGTGACTCCATCAAGTAAAACAATATTTGTAGTATATGGATCCCAGAAGAAGAAGAGAGAGGAAAGGGGGCAGAAGATTTATGTAAAGCAATAATAGCTGAAAACATCTTATCTGGGGAGGAAAAACAGAAATGCAGATTTAGGAGGCACAGGGAGCCCCCAACAAAATCAATTCAGGGAGGTCCACACCAAGATGCATAGTAATTAAAAAGTGGTGATAAAGAGAGAATCTTAAAAGCAATGAGAAAAGGATAGTTACATAGAAAGGGAAACCCCATAAGGCTAGCAGGGGGTTTTTTCCAGCAAAAACTTGGCAGTCCGGAAGGGAATGGCAAGATATATTCAAAGTGCTGAAAGGAAAATAATCTTCCTGGGAAAGCAGATAAGAACTTCTATAATAGTTTGATGGTTAAGTACTTTTTAGCATAGTCAGTAGAACTGATCTAGGGTCTAACTTATCCCAAAGGATGACCCAGGAAATGTCAGGTGTTTAGTATGAAAGACAAACAATGATTGTCTCACAAATCACTGATTCTTGGCCTTCACAAATGAATATAGGCTTCATCAAGAATAGTTTGTGGCGTAGAGAATTGCTTTTGAATGTAGATGAAATATTGCTTTTGAGATAAAAAATCATCTGCTTATAAGTTAGTTTGCGATAAATTGAGTAAAATAGATCTCTTGACTCATTTATATTATAATGGAAAGGCTAAGATTTCTATTTTAATTTTTATACTTTTTCCTTGTAGTTGTTATCTACTTCAGACAACACAGAAGATGAAAATGGTGAGTCGCCAAGTATGTATAATGATAATTACTGCATTCAATTTTTTTAATGTTAATTTATTTTTGAGAGACAGAGTGTGAGCAGGGGAGGGATAGAGAGAGACGGAAACACAGAATCAGAAGCAGGTGCCAGACTCTGAGCTGTCAGCACAGAGCCCGACATGGGGCTCAAACCCACAAACCGTGAGATTGTTACCTGACTCGAAGCCAGACACTTAACTGACTGAGCCACTCAGGCGCCCCTAGTAACTGCATTTAAGTGGAACCTTTTGGTACAACAGAGATTGAAATGTGATAAGAGTAATAATGTACATTTGTATGGTGCTGTGAACTTCGCAGTGCACTCTCAAATCCGTTAAGTGGGTATTTGTCCCCCTATAGCATGAACATTAAAAAGTATTACAGATTATGGAGCACCTGGGTGGCTCAGTCAGTTGAGCATCTGATTTCGGCTCAGTTCATAATCTCACGTTTCCTGAGTTGAAGCCTCGCTTTAGGCTTTGTGCTGACAGCTCAGAGCCTGGAGCCTGCCTCAGATTCGGTGTCTCCCTCTCTCTCTGCCCCTCCCCAACTCATGCTCTGTCTCTTTCCCTCAAAGATAAATAAACATTAAAAAAAAACTAACAAAATATTGCAGATTTCTGGTCTCCACTTTAAGCCTAATGTATTGATATGTTTGCACGTATAGGTAGATTAGGAGGAACTTAACGGAGGACCGTCGGGGAGGAGAAGGGGAAAAATGGGGAGAGGGAGGGAGGCAAACCATGAGAGACTTGAATGCTGAGAACAAACTGAGGACCGATGGGTGTGGGGGGAAGGGGGGTGATGGGCACGGAGGAGGGCACTTGTGGGGATGAGCACTGGGTGTTGTATGGAAACGAGCTTGACAATAAACTATTTAAGGAAAAAAAATAAACCTACTGTATTGAGTCATGGTATCTAAGGGTGGTCTTGAGTATCTGCGCTGTCAACACACTGCTGACATCCAGCCACACGCTTGTTCTCAGACCTCGTGGGAGCACAGGCGCTACGATATTGGCTTGCTGACGTATTCCTTCTATAAAATGAAGAGGGTAGAAATTATTATTCCCCTTCTTCCGTAGGAACCCTGAGGCTCAGAGAGGTTAAGTGACCTGTCCTTTTCGGCTAAACCTAAAAGATGATAGAGCCAATATTTGAACAAGCTCTTCTACTCCGTTACCTAGCGTTTAGTTTACTTCAATAAATATTTATCGCGGGTCTCCTATTCTGAGGAAAGGATTGGGAACAGGGTAAACATAGCTCCTATCCTCATGAGCTAATAGTGAAGGAGATACAGACAAGGACACAGATAGGGGGAGGGAATATGGTGGGAAAAGTGAGGCATGCGGCGCTCTGCGGGTGCATGAGGGGTGGCTCGTCCACACTCGCAAGATCAGAAAAGGCTTCCCAGAGGAAGTACTGGCCAACTGATGGCAAGGGTAGGAGTTAACCAGATGACGGAGGGAGCAAAAGAATATTCTAGGCAGAGAGAACAGCACATGAATGTCTTAGGTGACACAAAAGAGCAGGCACATTTGAAGAAACTAGCAAAATTCTGTGTGGCCAGAAAGAAGTCGGATCGCAGACAGACACATGAAGGCGGCCGGCCCGCGCTAAGCGTGGTCAGCACTGCAGGCGGACCCGGACCCCAGAGCCGTCAGTCTGGGGCTCCTGGGCTTGAGTGTAGAGCGTGAATGAGAAGGTGGCAAGAGATGGGGCTGAAGGGGTGAGCGGGGCCCCGAACGGGCGCCGTCCCGTAAGCCACAGGTGAGTGTGAGAACACCACGGTGTGGAAGGAGTGTGCCACAGGCGTGTCTGTGTGTGTGGACAGCCACTGTGGGTGCGGTGTGGGGAGGGAAGGAGACAGGGGAGGGTCCGTAGGAAGCCCTGCAGCCATGCGGTGAGTGAGGACAGTGGCCTCTTTGAAACACACGTGAAACCTGCTCGATTTAGAAAGCGCCCTTGTTCATCGTGGGGAGGAAGGAATGTGAGGTGGACAGGGATCCTCGACATTCTGTTTCTCACTCACAGTTAGGCTGGATAATACGTGTTTTGTATTGGAAAATGATATTCCATATTCTTATTTTAGTGACTGAATGTGCACATCCTTATTTTAAATTTAACAAAGTTAATACGAAATACACATTTTCTGGGCTTTATGTCTTTGAAACTGTAATAACTTTTAATTCAAAAAATTCAACATGTGTTACATTCTCTGTTTCATGTAGTTTTCATCTTGGGCCTGGAGAAAGCTCCTCCGAAGATGCCATCATGATGAACGCACCCGTGGTGAAAGCGGCCTTGGAGATGGGCTTCAGTAGGAGCCTGGTCTGGTGAAGCAGACCGTTCAGAGTAAGATCCTCACAAGTGGTGAGAACTACAAGACGGTGAATGATATTGTATCAGATTTACTTCATGCAGAAGATGAAATCAGGGAAGAGGAGAAAGGAAGGGCAGCCGAGGAACAAGAATCAGGTACGTGCATTTAGTAATCAGTGTCTCTTTCTGTGTGGATTTGACGTTAATGTCTGTGAGTTACGAAAAGTGTGCTTATAGTCAGTCCGGTCAGGTTTTGTGTTCACCGTTCTGTATTTGAATTCTGGAAATGTTTACAGTAAAATATATTTGAACTGCTCGTTAGTAAGTTGAAAATGTATATATTGAATGAAAGCATTTTCTTTTCTTTTCAAATGTTTATTTTGAGAGAGAGTGTGCACGCATGCAAGTGGGGGAGGGGCAGAGAGAGGAAGAGACAAAGAATCTGAAGCCGACTCTCTGCACAGACCCCCCAGGACAGCAGCAACAGAGCCCAACTCATCTTTGACCATCATCTTTGAGATCCTGACCTGAGCTGAAATCAAGAGTCGGACACTTAATTGAGGCTCCCAGGCACCCTGAGTGAAAGCATTTTCTTAACTTACTCTGAGTAGTTGACTGTATATGTAATCACACATGGCTTATTTTTGGTCCCAGGTTCATTCCCCTTTTCTGTAAATTCGGGTAGGACCAGGGACAGTTATTTACTTTAGTATTAGCATCACAGTGTGTCTCAGCCTAATAACTGGATAACATTAATAACATACATTAATGTACGAATTGTGATTAAGTTTCCTACCTGCCCACACAAGAACCTAGTTCCCCTTCGGGAACTTTCTGTTATTTAGGGGAGGGCCAGGATGCTGTTTCCCATTGTCCCAAGACAGGTCATCCCCGTCCTTCATGCCAGCCTTGTCTCCCACTCTATCGCCTCTGCTCAACCTTCCTTTGCAAAAACTCTCCTCCCCTAAGCACGTCCATTCCCGTCTGGTGACTCTGAACCCTGCCATGACTCTGGCCTAGACCAAGAGAAATCCCTCCTTTGCTAAGCATGGACCAGATCTGTTGAAAACAGACTGCAGCTTTTAGCAGGGTCTTCCTGGAGCTGAAGGGATAACAGAAGAGCATTGTGTCACAGAGGGCACTTGACGGCTGTAACTGTTTGGGCCCCTCGTGGTGCCTCTCAGCCCATCTTCATGCATCTCCCTGCCCAGCTTCTGTTCTGGTTCATCTCTCCATAGTTCTGGCCGTTCTACACACGTGACTACGAAAGTCCCAGCGTGTCTTTCCTTGTGGAAGCTCAGGCCCCCGATAACCCCAGAGCCCAGAATGAAAAAAGAGTTTGCCCCTTATCTTGTCCAGTGCCATCTGGGATCTGTTTCTTCCCAGGGTGATTGGCAGTGAGATTGTCCACTCCGGGCTTGGACAAGCCCACCGCTCAGGCGGCTTTGTCCTCGGGGTCAACCAGACAGGCGTACCCAGTCATCGCAGTGCGGCATCCTGGCTTTACCGAACCGTGAAGTATTCAGTGTGCAGACCCCCAGGACGGCAGCAGCAGAGCCCAAGCTCATCTTTGCCCGGGTTCACTGCGAGGTGGAGATACGGCTGCCTGACCTGGCGCGGGTCGGCTCCGTCTCAGCTGCTGGTCGTCAGCGAGCACTTTTCACAGTCTAAACCATCCACCTACAAAACACTCCCATTTCTTTCAAAGAAAATCCACAGTCTGCACGGATGACTCCAGTCAATGATATACAATAAGTGACATCGTCAGAAAGATGTGCTAGCTTCCTCCGCGCACCCTCATTTCTACACTGGCCAGCACACTCTGCACATGGTCTGTGCTCCAGAAACACTGTTTGAATGAGTGAACAGAAATATTTCCCTTCAGGTTACTCTTGATTTTAGAGTTTCCCAAGAACAGTAGGTAAGTAATTTCTTAACAGGTGTTATAAATAAACTTAGGATAATTTTCCAGAACAAAAGAATAATATGCTTCAAAGGTCTATGCAAGTCTCTTACAGGCCAGAATACAGTCCGTGACTTTGAAATGAGTCTTTTCTGCTCAACTACTGGCAATCCAATTTTAGAAGTCTTCAGAATTTCAGAGAACTTATTACATTAGTCTAAGTATAAAGTAAAAAGAAACATAAATGTAGATGGAAAAACTAATATACTTCAACATGAAGTGGAAATTATATCACTACTCCTCTGCCAGATGATTTAACTGAGTACATTAGGTTCTTAATTCTTTCCCCTCTGGCCTTTACTTCTTTGTTCCTTCTGCTCGTGACATATGAAGGCTTGCCTGCTCATCTCTTCAACAGATACCGTGGGGCCTTTTCTTTGTGCCAGACACTAATCTCGGTCCTGGCCCCTTCCAGGTTTATTCCCAGATCGCCAGCGCTCTTCAGATTGGGTATCTCTGGCCTTGACTTTGACTAAGCACGATTTTTTATTCTTTATTAAATGGTTCTATTTTTGTGTCCTATTACTTGACAGAGTCAGCGTTTCTACAGTCCAACAGTCATCTCCCCCAGGTGGGTTGTGTAGACAGTCCCACTTCTGTCATTAGTTATTTTATAGGAAGAGCCCGATGGATCATGGCAATGATTAGACTTAGGTTTATAAATGATATTCCAAGGAGATGATAAAATTGAAGAATTTCAAAATACAAACTACTTTACTGAGTGGTACAAAATCTACATCTTCAAGGAGAATAATGTGATCCTGTTGACACCAGGGTATTCCTGACCAGTAGGATTTAATTTTTGAGATGCTGTTAATACCTTTTCCCATTTCCTATAAAAGATTTGGGTAATGGCAATATCATGTCTATTTTGGGGAAATAATTAAAATTTGCTCTTAAAAGGGAATTTCGAAGAAATTTTACGGGTGAATGATAATTTCAGAAATAAGTGTTCTGTCATTCTCATCTCCTGATTTTATATTTCCCCAAGTTGACTAGACTGAATTGGAATTTTAGTTTTATTGGTTCTGTTACCTGGTTAAAGGCTCAGCAGTTGTTCAGAACGTCCAAGAGCACAGATCAGGGCTCCACACCGCCTCCACTTGACCTTTATGAGTTGTGTGTCCTTCACAGTTTACTCACCTCCGTTTCCTCATCTGCTGGGTGGGGGCAGGGCACCTACCTCAGCCGGCTGCGGTGACGGTGGAAGGAGCCAGTATATGATGCAAAGCACTTAACACCGTGATGGTCAGGACAGCCCGGGCAGCGGGTGCCCCCGGGCCCCCCAGCTCCCTGCATTGCCTGCCCAATCCTGAATTATGTTGTTTTTCATGCAGTCATGTGTAGGCGTGGGAGGAAGTTTGTGAGCAAAGTTGGAACATCCTTGTGTTTGTTTTCTCTCTTATAAAGATGATGTCTCATTAATCCGGAAGAACAGAATGGCGCTTTTCCAACATCTGACTTCCGTGCGCCCCATCCTGGACGGTCTCCTCGCGGCCAGAGTGCTCACGGAGCAGGAACACGGTGTCATTACACAGAAAGCACAGACATCGCTGCAAGCCAGATTGCTCATTGATGCTGTGTTAGTGAAAGGAAGCTTTGCAGTCGCCGCATTTAAAAACTCTCTACTGGAAACGGACCCCGTGTTATACAAGCGCTTCTTCGGTGAGTGCTGCACAGTCATGTAGGGAACTTTCTAGGTCAATTGAAAATACGCTCTTAATGTAACGTGCACTGGGTGTTGTACACGAGTGTTGAGTCACCATATTGTACACCTGAAACTAATAGTGCACTGTTAACTCACTAGAATTTAAAATTCATTTTAATCCAGTTTTTTAAAAAATGCTTTTATTTTAATACTTTGCGATTATTGAAAATAATTCAATTTAATTTGTAAACTATTAATTGCACAAAAAGATTAAAGATTTGTGTTGCCTTGACGTTATGACAATTATGTATAGCATTTGGCCAGAGTCTAAGCTGTTAGTTTAAAAATGTATATTCTGTGACTAGATATGAGCCTTATTTGTTATGGTAACATTTTGATTCGTGCGTTTTGTTTCTCTCCCTCAGTGGAACAGGACCTAAGGTCTATTCCCACAGAAGATGTTCCAGGTAACATAGTGCTAATAACTTAGCTGGTAGAAAACACCGATTTTATTTTCTTGGCTTTTTATGGGAGGAGAAACAGCAAGTTGCCTTTCATTAAAAATTCTTTCCTTCGGGCACCTGGGGGGCTCAGGCGGTTGAGTGTCCGACTCTTGACTCCAGCTCAGGTCATGGGCTCACGGTTTGTGGGCTCGAGCCCCCCACAGGGCTCTGCACGGACAGGGTGGGGCCTGCTTGGGATTCTCTCTCTCTCTCTCTCTCTCTCTCTCTCTCTCTGTCTGCTCCTCCTCTGCTCCTGCGTGAACTCTGGCTCTCTCAAAAAATAAAAATAAAAATAAATTTAAAAAATCCTTTTCCCTTGTTAGGTCTGTGTCTGGAGGAGCAGCTGCGGAGGCTGCAGGAGGAACGAACCTGTAAAATGTGCATGGACCGAGAAGTGTCCGTCGTGTTCATCCCCTGCGGCCACCTGGTGGTGTGCAAAGACTGCGCCCCTTTGCTCCGAAAGTGCCCTATTTGCAGGGGCACAATCAAGGGTACCGTTTGTACGTTTCTCTCGTGAAGAAGAGCCAAAACTTTGTCTCAAACTTTAGAATTAATGGATTAAATGTAATGTATTTTTTACTTCCATAATGATTTGCTTTCCTTAAGATCTTTTTTATCTATTTGCAGCTGAACTGTTTTATATAAATATACATCTAAAACATATCCACCATACATATATTAGCAAGAAAATGGCGGGCTTTTCATGTGAACAGTAGCAGACATAGCACTACACGCTCGATACTTAATCCAAGTGTCAGCACGTTCGAAATCGTAAGGGAAGTAAAATTTAAAATTTTGAAATAAGTTTTCAGAATTTTAAATTCTTGGGGCGCCTGGGTGGCTCAGTCGGTTAAGCGTCCGACTTTCGCTTAGGTCATGATCTCGCGGTTCGTGGGTTCGAGCCCCGCGTCGGGCTCTGTGCTGACTGCCATCTCGGAGCCTGGAGCCTGTTTCAGAGTCTGTGTCTCCCTCTCTCTCTGACCCTCCCCTGTTCACGCTGTCTCCCTCTCTCCTAGAAATAAATAAAACATTTAAAAAAATAAATAAATTCTTTGGAGTTGTATTAAGACTCAACAAGAGCAGTCTCTTTGGATCAGTGTCATGTACGTAGAAGGTCTGGATATTCGTCGAATGATTTTTTAGGGGCTTGGTGGTTTTGTAAAGAATTCTGTGAGGGACATTTTAATAAAGCCATCAGACTTCCTCTCGTTCTGACAATCTTTGCGTAGCAGTCGGGCCCCTTCCCGGCTGCCCTCCTCCCCCAGGACGCCCCCTGGGCATCGGGCTGTACTGAGATCCCCTTCTGCAGGATGCCTCTGCGTTCCCACGGGGACAGCGCAGGGCTCCCCGGCCCGGCTCGTGCCTGCAGGGTCGCCAGGGCTGTGGGGGTGGATGTGGAGCGACCCCCTCACCGAGCTCGCTTATTCACTTGTGCAGCCTCAGCTGCCCTGCCCATCGGGAAAAGTTCCTTGTTTGCTTCGTACCGCTCTGGTGGGGGGTCTGGGACTCAGAGTATGCGGATCAGCGCCTTGGAACCAGCGCCCGGTTCTGGGAATAAACTTATTCTGTCCTGTCGGGCAGCGAACTGTGCTCGACCGCCTGCCGCTTTGGCGCTCAGCATGCCCGAGTCACAACTGTCTAGGCTTCGCTTCCTGTAGACGTATTAGGGCTCTAAAACCAGAAGTAACACAGACCTGGGGAGCAGTGCGGGCACCAAACCAGGGACAGCCATTGAAAGCAGCTCTAGGTGTCTGCTTCGGAGAAAGGTCTGGAACCCAGCAGGGAGGAGGGGCCATCTCCACGTGGGGACTCCTCAGGGGCAGCTGATTTTGCGTCTCTGTAACAAGTTCTGTAACAGTGTCCTCCTGGATCACTCGGCCAAATTCACTGAAACTCTGCTTTAGTGCGTAGGTCATTTGTCACCTAACATTGTTATAGGATAAATATTTACCCAGTACATCCTTTTTTTTTTTCATCTGGTTCTTACTTCATACTACACATAATATTTTAATTTTGCCTTCGTCACTGGGAAGCTCCTGTTCATTTCTCATTTTTAAAAAATGTTTATCATCGAGAGACAGAGCATGATCATGGGAAGGGCAGAGAGAGGGGGAGACACAGAATCTGAGCAGACTCCAGGCTCTGCGCCGTCAGCACAGAGCCTGACATGGGGCTCGAACTCATGAACTGTGAGATCATGACCCGAGCCGAAGTCAGACGCTCAACTGACTGAGCCACCCAGGTGGCCCAAGTGATTCACTGTTTTAGAAGGAACACTAATATCCTTGAAAGACCCAGTATTCTTTTTAAAACTATGCCCATCCCCACTCCCGTGGTCAAGAGGGCCCTAGGTGAATTTCTACTTTGTACTGTGGAAATCACAGGCATTTTTTTCAGTCTGCACAGGACACCTGCTCCGTATCACATTCCCACACATCCTGTCTAGGTTTCCGCCCCACTTTCGGCCCCTCTCCTCATACACTCACTGCCTCCCAGCTACGCTGGCTTCCTGCAATTTCTAAAGGTGACAGGCTCTTTTGCTTGAAGTCTTCGCCTGGAATATTCTTTCGTTCACTGTTTACCTGACAAACTCTATTATTCATTCTTCAGGTCTTACTGGCTCTAGATGTTACCTCCTCAGAGAGATGTTCTCTGACTCCCCCCTCCCCCCTCGCCTAATTTATGTCTTGCAGACTGTTGTTCTTTTTCCTTATAATGCTTACTGTACAACACAATTTGTACTTATAGATTTATTTGTTTAATGTCATACTCCATTATCAACGTTTCCATGGGAACGGGGGCCATGTGTATTGTTCACCGACATGCACCCAGCACCCAGCACAGAGCCTGGCATGGAAAAGGCCCTCACTGAACAAATGAGTGAGTGAGCGGCATTCTGTGAGTGGGGCTGGGGTGTCAGAGGCGATTTCTTCTTGCTCAGCTCCTGCCATTGGTAAGTATTACGGCATCATCATCGATTGAGAATCAGGGGCCAATTCTGCCCTCCTTTAAGTAGCAAGAGATAGTTTTAGAAAGGAAAGCTCACTCCAGTTTAAAAAAGAGTCATGAACACAGTGGGCTGTGGAGCTGTGTTCTGAATGGTGGAGCCCACTGTTTCAGGAGAGGGCATTTTAAAAAGGCACAAACACGGGCATTAGAATCCTGATAACAGCAGACATGTACAGAACTTGCACGTGCTAGGTGTCTACACATCATCTTATCTGAGATGCGCTGCTCTTTAAGAAAGGCGCATGGGTGGCTCAGTCGGGTAAGGGTCTAACTTGGGCTCAGGGCACGGTCTCATGGTTGGTGGGTTCGAGCCCCGCATCTGGCTCTGTGCTGACAGCTCAGAGCCTGGAGCCTGTTTCAGATTATGTCTGTCTGCCTCTCTCTCTCTCTCTCTCTCTCTGCCCCTCCCCCACTCATGCTCTGTCTCTGTCTCTCTGAAAAAGAAACATTAAAAAATATTAAAGAAAAGAAAAGGCAACATAGCTCAGGGATGAGTCCTGCACACTTTGGGTTTGAGTCACAGCTGAGCCCCCTTGGGCTAATTGTGGGCCATCTGTACCTCTGGATGCACCTGTGTGGAATGGGGCTCCTGTAGCAGCACCTCAATGTTAGAATGCGTAACAAATGTTCTTAATTAGAAAGTGCTCCTGTTGTTTCAAGATGCAAACAAGTGAGTCATCACCTGGGGTCTTGAGGCAGGTGCACAAAGGAGGATATGGTTAACTGCTGCCCAAGATTGGGGGATCGTAGGAATCCTTTTGTTCAGTGGTCATTCTGCCGGCAGGATGCTGAGTCACCTCTGTAGGGAGCCCTTCAGAAGGGGTCAGCAGGTCAGCTTGACTCATCTTACCGTAACAAGTGTGTTTTCGACGGAACTCAGGTGGTGTCTGGAAAGAGTGATCCACGTATTGTGTCAGACCAGACTCCAATTCAGGGGAGCTTAAGCATATCACGTCATAGCCTGTTGTAACGTGACATAGTACCATGCCCTGTTGTGCCAGTTTCCAAATACACATGGTGTTAGAAAGCAAGCCAGAGGCCCAAAACTGGCATCCCCAAACCGGGGCTTAATACCTAATGGAATCACAGTTTCCACCTCCCCAGCAAATAGTCTTAACCGGTCAGCCAGGAATTTTCCATCAGCACCAGCGAGTCAGCCACGGTAGCTCTCCATCCCCCAGAGGAAGATGAGGTCATCTGCCTAAGACTCCCCGCTCCCCCTGCCCCCGGAACAATCTTCTTGCCAATAACTTCCTTGCCCTGTCCTCCTTCCTATAAAATCTTTCATTTCCTAAGGCCCCTCAGCCCTCGGAACTTCCCCTCCACATGTGAGAAGGATGCTGTCCATTTCACGTGTCCATTACATCTTCATTTGGTTAAATTTTGTTCTTTAAGTTTATTTATTTTGAGAGAGAGAGAGATTGTGCACATGCAAGTGGTGGGGGGGAGCAGAGAGAGAGAGAGACAGAGAGACAGAGACAGAATTCCAAGCAGGCTCCATAGTGTGTGTGCAGACAGGGGGCTCGGACTCACAAACCATGAGATCATGATCTGAGCTGAAATTAAGAGTTGGACGCTTAACCATCTGAGCCACCCAGGTGCCCCCAATTTTGTTTTTTAACAGTCGACACTCTTACGCAAAATAATTACACATGGAAAAGCAATGTCAAATTTATTCATAAGAACGTTTTCAATGATTTATCAATCAGTGGATATTAAAAGTGTTGAAGTATAATGTTATCCTCAAAATATTTTGACAGGTCTTCAAACTTGAAAACATTGGGAATATTGGTGGATAATAGATTTGTGTGATCTGACATGGTCATCCCTAGCCAGGCTCCTAAAATGTACCTTAGTCTAAATTGAGATGCGTGGTAACTATAAAATATACAATAAATTTCAAGGACCTACTACAGAAGAATAGAAAATATCTCTATAATTTATATTGATTACATGTTGAAATCATATTTTAGATTCATTGGGTTATAGAAATATGTTACTAAAAATAAATTCACTTGATTCTTTTTACTTAACATGGTTAGTAGAAATTTAAAATTACTTATGTAGATGACATTACATTTCTTTTGGATAGCCCTGGTCTAGATAAATATAACTGCTCTTAATTTTATCACTTCCAAGATATTGGAGACTCATCAGAGTGTATACAAAGGTAATGTGCACTACAAAATAGTATTCTCTCTAGGAAGCTACTCTGTGTCGCCTGTGAGCTTCTGGACATGGAACTTTCAGAACTATGTCTGAGGTATATGCTCCATAAGTATTTCTTAAAAGAATGAAAGAGTTGAATGATTTGCTCAAGGCCATATAACTCAAGGAAAAGCGGCAGAGATTAAAGTAAAGGCTGTTTCATTTTTTTGCCTAAATTTAATACATTGTGATGTGTTGGCTATATTGCAAAGATTAGAATCATTTTAAGCTGTCATTTAAAAAAATGTGTATGTTTTCAATATTTATGTTATCTCGTTTACATAAATGGCCATGGGGAGAACACAACTTTCTAAGTAACCTATGGTTCTTTTTATTTATTTATTGCATTTTCCAAGGCTTTCCAACAATTCTACTCTGGACTCAGCTGTCCAGAGGCCCCACATGATTGCTGTCTGGGAAACCACAGGGAGAGGCTTGCCTAGACCTGCATGAGCTTCGTGGGTCCTAGAAATCTTCTATCTTTGCCTGCTTTGTCAGGATATACAGAGAGAGCAAGCTCCCCTCTGCCATGTATTTGTCTGCATGACTTCTTGTGACTATTTTTCTGCAATCATAAGGCTTTTCCTTAGGATTGTGATTCCTTTGGTGGTAAG